TAAAGAATTATTAATTTAATTTTTTATTATTATTATTATTCAATTTGATCAGAGGGAGCAAGTGAGAGAGAAATCATGCCACCAGATCTAGGACTTGAACTATGGACTGCCATGTGGGAGTCCAGCACCTTAAATACCACACCACCTGCCAGCCTCTAGAAACTGAGATTTACCCTGGAGAATTTATGCCATTTATAGTTATTTATAAATTTAATTAGCACAATTACATTGAGTCTTTTTTGTTAATTTCTTGAAAATTTATATTTTATTTAAACACAGCATATAATTTAAGAAAATAATTTGCTAATACTTGTTATATGCCTTTAGAATTGCCAAAAAGAATAATTTTGGTTTTTTTTAGTCCACTATTAAATTTTATATCAATTTACACTAATAAATTAAGTTTTAGATCATTTAAAGATAATATACTTTACTATTTCTGTTAGATTTCTATTAGCAATAATTATTACTAACCGAATAATATTAATACTAATAATTGTTAGTAATTATTGTTAGTAAGAATTACACTATCTTTGTTCATTTAAAAAATGTTCAATAGGCATATATTCTATGTATACATTGAATTATCAGGTACACAAAATTTGCACAAAAACTGCAATACAGACTAAAAATCAAACAAGCTAATAACTCTGCAGAGTAATAAGTAGTTAATAATTGCATACTAGAGAGCATGTTAACATCAGAGAGGCATGTCATTTATAACAACTAACCTCATTATATTGATCTTCATTTAAGTTATCTTTATCATAATTTAAATAAAATATTATATATAAGCCTAAGCATAAAATGAAAATTTCATGATAATACAAATTGGATTATAAATCATTTTAAATATTAAAAAACAAATGATTATAGTTAAGCATATGATATTAAACACCAAGAAGTAAAATGTAATTGGCTTTTCGATACAGTATTTACACTTTTTTAAATATAAAGTATAAGAAGATTGATAACTTGTAAAACAACAAAGACCTAATTTTTAAATAAATCCTACTGACTTTAAGAAAACATTCACTGCTCTTTATTGTCTTTGCTATCTAATTTCTTAGTATTTATGTAAGTGTCATTTTCCACCATTTGGGTAATAGAAAAATCCCTTGATTTGTTTTACTTAAAGAAAAATTATAATGACTTACCTTTAAAGAGGTAAGGAGGATTTTCACTCAAGTGCTCCAACATATAAACACACAATTCTTAATAGGACCAAACGGTATTCAGCAGAAAACTCTTGCACTGAAATTCTCATTACATAAGTGTGTGAGAGTTTATATGCTTTTAAAAAAAAAAACTGTAACGTCACATCCTAATGTGTGGTTTGTTGCCAGAGAAATTGAAAAAAAGAAAAGAAACCCACACACATAATTCTATTGGAAGGACTTACAAGGGTCTATTTTTTATGGCCTGTTGAAGACCTATTACCTATATCTGAGACACTCAGCAGTACTGTTTTTTTTCTTGCTATTTTCCCATCCAAGTAAGTCAGAGGCTAGAGAAACAAAAGGAACTTGCTCAGCTGTCCCTAATATATTCTTTTTTTACCACACAATCATTATTCTAGATACTGAACTGAGACTATTGGTGGAAAGGGTAAATTGAGGAGAATAATCATAGTCTCACTTCCCTGTCATGCCTGAGATTGCAAAATTCATCTCATGACACTGAAATAAATACACTTTTCTATACAGCATAAAGCTAAACTTCTTTGAGACTAATAATTTTGAAAACAATTAGAGACTGTCAAAAAACAAGGATGACAAACAGACTTTTAAAAAGGAAATAGCCTATTGTTTTAGCTGGAACTTCTTAACTGTTTATCATTTTCTGTTAGTTTTACAGAGGTTTCATGAGCACAGCAAAGTCCTTCTATTAAAGAATAAATTCTTTAAACATCTTCAGTCGAAATACAACTATTAAATAACATTTAAATAGAATTACTATGAAGAAAATCTTTTAGTGTAAAGAAGTATATACTTAAATCATCTTCAAAAAAGTCATTATATTTGAATCAGAATAGAAAGCCTTGCTTACACTTTGAGAAAAGAAGGACTCTCAATTATAAGACCCCCCTCCACACACACACACACACACACACACACACACACATCCACAGAATCTTACAGAGAAAATCTGCAGAAGTTTAAGCTGGCATATATATCTGACAGACTAGCTAGATAAATGCCTCCAAGTCAACCTTGAAATAAATAAAGCAACCTAAGAATAACGGTCTAGGAAATATATTTAGTTCATTAGATCATATTTAAACTAGTCCTTATCATTAGGTGGCGCATGCTGTGCTGTCTCTTCTGGGCATGTGAGCACACAACAAATTCTTTCACTTGCCAACACTACAATATTACTAATTGGAAAGGCACCCTAGCCATTCTAGTCTTCTCAAATATTATTTTCTTTCTTTGGATACATTTATTTAAAAATTAAAAGAAAATTCTTACACATGTATTTACTTTTTTTTCCTTTTTTTTTTGAGTTTTTTTTTGCATGTATTTACTTTTTTTTCCTTTTTTTTTGAGTTTTTTTTGCAATAGTGCGTGTGCGCTCGCCAGATAGACAGAGAGAGATTTTGAGTTTTTTTTTTTGCTATAGGGCGTGTGCGCTCGCCAGATAGTCAGAGAGAGACAGAGAGACAGAAAGCGAGAAATCATCCCCCAGGGGGGATGGCCACACCACAATCCCTTCTCCTCCGTTCTCCTCTCGGGATCTTGGGCACGCACGCACATGCACCTGGCGTGAGTTTTAAGCCACCGGGTCCGGGACGCAAACCGCGCTTGACTAGATGGCAGTCCAGTGGCATAGCCATTACGCTAACTGCTGGTCCCACACATGTATTGATTTTTTAATGGAAATATTTATTTAAAAATTAATAAGAAGTCCTAAAAATATTTTAGGTACATTAGGATAATTTTATTTTCAAACATCAGACCATTTATTTAGGATAACATAAATATGACCTGCAATTCATTAACACTTATCCTTCTCATTTAAAAAAAATATCTTACAGAAATTTCAGGAAACTTAAAAAGGTAATGTCTTTATCACTTTGACCTTCTATCTTGGTTCCATGATAATAAAAGGTAGTACAGAGGCTAATACATATTTTAAGAATATCAATTTTGTAGACATCTATTTTCTCAAGCCACATTGATATATTTTCGAATTAACCTTAATTCTCACACATGCATACCTCAATATGAATTCAGAAATAGTTTGTCAACACATGAGTTCAGATAAGATTTTAAGGAACACATTTTAAACATATGGAAAGGAGAGTTAAATTTTATTGAAAATCTGAGCACTTTTTCTGAAAGATGTTTCCAAAACAAAAATACATGCAAACCAGATGCCTAAGTTGAGGCTGAACTTACTTGGATCATTATTTAATGAGTAGCTAATGCCATCCAAATCTTCTGACTTCTTTGGAAAGGAAAAATGTCAGACACTCCCCTAAGCAGCTCAAAGAATCAGATTTACACTCCCAGAGGCAGCTGTTACGTGTTCAGCCCCACAGACAAGAGTTTCTGAGCAGCTTAGCACAAAAGACCAGGAAAGTACACAGCTCATCAAATCTGTACCCATTAATTTTGAAGAAAATACACACCTTAAACAACAAGGCCACACAATGCTGTGCCCATTGTAAAGAAAAGAAGGTTCGAGCTTTTATTTTTCAGAGTATGAAACCACCGTATTTTGAAAGGCTGTGGGTTATATGAGGGTATGCCTTGCCTTACATAAATCCACAGTAGCACAGATAAATGTATTAGAATGACAGGGTAAATTTTCAACATACATAAGTCAGCTTAGGTACTTAATTTCATTGGAAACTTTTTTGTGACAGACCCCATAGGAATAGAAATCAAACAGATATTGGTTTGGATTCTTCCTGAGGCTAACAGAACTAGTTATTGACTGGGAATTGGTAAATATCTATTTACTTTATTTTTTTTCCAGTTTTATCAAGGTACAATTGACAAATAAAAATTCAAGATATATATGGTTTTTTAATTGCCAGAAGGCTCATGCACTTACTAGAGAGAGGGAAAAAGAGAGAACTCCTAAGTGGGGCATGAAATCTCTTTCAACTCCCAATTCTGTTCCCCCTTTCCTCCACTTCTGCTTTCTGTGATTTCTTCATCCTGCTAGGATTTGGAGCAGGCATGCACATATGCCCTCAGAGTGCTTTCCAAGCCAAACTAGGTCAGCCATGTGGGATCCAGCTTCCTACACACAGGGTTTACCCACTACAGTACAGGGCTGGTGCTACATGATGTTTTAAGCTTGTGTCGACATTGTTTTGATATATGCAGACACTGAAATGATAGGCACAATGAAGTTAATTAACATGCCCACTGTTTTTACTTTCTTAATCATGAAATGAAGGAAACTAAATGAAAAAGTGATGGTAAGAACTAAACAAGATGAGCTGTACATAGCACTTTTCAGGGGCCTAACTACTAAGAGGTACTTGCAAAAGGCTCCCTTTCTATCACTTCTCTTTCTACAAGCCTCCTTCACCCTTTCTCCTTTCTTGCCTTTGCTTTCCATAGATCACTTATCACCATTGGGCAAACTCCACGACTGACATGGTTTTGTTCTTTCTCTGCACTTACTATAATACTGGGTCTGTGATGAGGAGGATACTTGTTTGTTTAGTTCACCTCTGAATCCCCAGAGCATAGAAAAAACTCGTGGATGGTTGCCCATTGAATGAATTGACACATACAACTATTATAACTTTAGTAATATTTTAAATGAAGTGACACTGGATGGAAATGAGAGGCTATAGTGATACATTCTTTGTTATACAGATATGCAGTGGCTTGATTGGGAGTAAGAGCATCCATTAAGAAAGTGAATGAATCCAAGTTGGATTTTGGAATTTATCACTTCCAAAGTACATAATTAGTTACTAATTACTTTGCCTCTCTGAGCCACATGGAAGTATCTCCCTCATAGAATTGCTATAAAGATTAAATGATGGGGACCAGTGGTTGGTGTAATGGCTATGTTGCTGGACTCCCATGTAGTCAACTACGGCTTGAGTCTTGGACCTGGTGGCTTAAACTCATGCCAGGCGTGTGTGCATGCATGCCCAAGATCCCGAGAGGAGAATGGAGAAGAGATTGTGGCATGGCCATTCCCCCGGGGGATGATTTCTCGCTCTCTGTCTCTCTGTCTGTCTTTCTGGCGAGCACACGTGCCCTATATCAAAAACCTCTCGGGAACCAACAGTTAGCATAATGGCTATGTCGCTGGACTCCCACATAGTCGACCGCGGTTCAGTCCCGGACCCGGTGGCTTAAAACTCACACCGGGCGCATGTGCGTGCATGCCCAAGATCCCCAGAGGATAATGGAGGAGAAGGGATTGTGGCATGACCACCATTTCTCACTTTCTGTCTCTATGTCTCTGTCTGGAGAGAGCACGCACGCTATAGCAAAAACCTCTCCAAAAAAAAAAAAGAAAAAAAAAAACTCAAAAAAAGTAGATTAAATCATGAAGAACTCAGCACAGAGCCTGACATATAGTTTTTTAAAGAATCATTTATTCAAGTTTTGATTAACAAATAATTACTATGCTTATCATTGGCCAATAAACCAAATTTTAGTTTAAGGAATTTATTAAATACAGAGAAGAAATGAGAAATCTCTTTCAACTCCCAATTCTGTTCCTTGGAAGTAACCAATATAGAGTAGGTGTGAACCAATTCCTCAGTAACTTTATGATTTTAAATTTCTATACATATGTATATGGAATAATACATATACTGAATCATCCTTTCTCAACTTGCTCCTTCTCATATTATGTGCCTTGGAGGTATTTCCATATTATGAATAAAGTTAACTCTTTTCCCATTATTGTAAAATATTCCATGGTGAAAGATGTTTTATCTTTTAAGTGGCCTGCCTCGTATTAAGTGGATATTATCATTATTTCTAGTTCTTTGCTATTATAATAAAAAATGCAAGAAAATCGTATACATATAGCTTTACCTGTGCTAGGGCAACAGAAAAAAGATCAAAAAGTAAAATTTTTGGAACACCATGTGTACCTTTTTGTCGTTGCTATTATACAAAATTTCACCAAATGTCTGTTCAGACAAAATGCCTATCTCTGTATCTTACCCATACTAGTTCATAACAAACTCCAAGACTTAATAAAGTATGTTAGATATTTTTTTTCTAAATAGATTTAACCTATTTTCCAAAATATATGAACTATTTTTATTTTTAAAACATGTGACAATTTTCTTGTTCATTCTTTTCAAGGTTTGTTTTTTCTTTTCTTATTAACTAATAAAAAAACAGCCAGTCTTCTAACATGTAACACTATTCTAGTTGACAAATTTTTTAAACTTTATTTTTATTGTAGGATTTAAATATGAAGACTCTTTAAGATCAAAAAGTAAAATTTTTGGAACACCATGTGTACCTTTTTGTCGTTGCTATTATACAAAATTTC